TAGTTTTTCAGCATATAAAGCATCTTACAGGGTGTTTTTAAGTGGTAGATTATTAAAGTGAACACAGCTGGCTCTTCTTTAACCGTGCATCTGCCCGTCTAGCCATCCTAGACACAGATCCTAAATGCCGTTTCTGTCCTCTTCCGTCTATGATCGATGGACACGCTCACCATGACCATGTTGCTCCCCAGAGGGCACAGCATTCATCAATAGCACTGCATTAAGTGGACAAATTTATAACAGCTTGATGAAGCAGAGAGGTGAAGTGATTTAGGTGATTACTTTCATCGGCAAAAACATGCGCCAAGGAGATCCCTCGGTTCATTGAAGTGCTTTCAGGGCCTGTAGATGAAACTAGACGATAGGCTCTTAATTAGCAGGAAATCACAAATAAGGAAAGAGCAATTTGGGGGAACTCCCTATACCATCCCACAACAGAGGCATAGCTGACAGCTTCACAAAATACATCACTGACAAGTATATATAGCACAATCAATCCATTTTCTCACTAAAGGGAAGTGCTGAGTCTGCTGACCCACATTTGTGCTGCTAATTTTGGTACCTACACGCTTTGATATAGCAGCATGCCATTGCTGAGAGTTGCCCTTTTGAAAGCAGCCACTGAGAGGTTAAGAGGTTTATCGGGAGCATACACAGTCTGCAGGCAGCAACAGGTTATACCGGCACAGGATATGAGGGCATGACAAAGCTCTGTCGTACAAAACCTGTAGATATCTTTGAAGATATCTACTTTAAAGCAAGAAAAAAGAACTGTACCCTACTAATAACAAACTGTACACTCTAAAAAATGCTGGGTTAAATAAATAACTACCCAGTGCTGGGTAAAATAGGGACAAACCCAGCAATTGGGCTGTTTTGACCCAGCGTTTGGGTTAAATGTTTAACCCAGCCTTTTGGGTAGTAACCCAACCACTGGATCAAAACTGCCCAATTGCTGGGTTTTTCCCTATTTTACCCAGCACTGGGTTGTATTTACCCCACATTTTTTAGAGTTTATAAGCCTAAAGAAAGGATTGTGTTTATATCCGATTGTTTCCTGTCTTTGAAATGAAAGCCCAGCCCACATTCAGCTATAAATCCATGTCCTGGGGTGCCTTTTCGGGTGTACGGCAAAAGTAAATTAGTCTAATACAGGTTCATCTGAACTTATCTCTCATTTCTCGTAACAAAGAGAAAGATAATGCAGTGATCTCAAAGCTGCAGCATTCTACTGTCCTGCCTTCTGCAGCTACAAGCTTTGAACACAATCCTATTGTTTTGACTGTTCCTGGCGTCTGTTGGCGTGTTAACACCCGTCCTATTTCACCGGATTTGTATTGAAATGACCTCAGAGGGTAACTAGAAGTCTGTAGAAATTGTAAACCGATATTGATCATAAAAACACCTTGCACGCCCTTTACTGTATAATAAAATGGTGCCAATTTTAGTCATGTTAAAGTATGGAACAACTTAAAAGTAAATATATAAAAAATGTGGTGTTATACAGTGATAGCATTAGATGTCAATATTGTGACATATACTGTAGCATAGAGCTGAATGAATATTATATATGAACAACATGACATTATGGGCAATGTTTTACCATGATATTTAAAAAAAAACAAAAAAACAGTAGGCCTACTGTAGTATGAAGCAAGGTATTATTAGTGTTCTTATAGCACATTCAGTTTAAGAGAACTTCAGTCATAATAGATAAAGCAGGACAAGACAAAAATAAATACAGTAGATGAGTAAATTATGGCGTCTGGGCAGTTTGTCAAAGTTGAGGACGCTTACAATGAAAACAGGTTGCATTTCAGGGTAGCATTGAGATTCGTTTCAATGAACCGATTCACTGAACATTTAATACTAATGCTTTTAAAGGTTGCAGCCCTGGTATTAAAGGGGTCATATGATGCGATTTCAAGTTTTCCTTTCTCTTTGGAGTGTTACAAGCTGATTGTGCATAGATAAGATCCCTGAAGTTGCAAAGACTAAAGTCTCAAAACCAAAGAGATATTCTTTATCAAAGTTAAGACTCTGCCACGCCCCCCTAAAACGGCTCGTTCTAACACGCCCCCACATATCTACCTCACTATGTGGAAATATTTGCATAATGCCGCCCAAATGTGCACGCAAAGAAAGAAGGCGTGGTTTCAGTAACCACAGTTAGTGTTGAAGCAGCATGTCAGGGAGACTCTGTGTGTTTCTAGGAGAAAGCAAAAGCACTTTATTTGGCCTTCCGAAAGTAGATGCTTTAAGATTACTTACAACAGAAAAGCAATGCATTTTATGGACGACCGTTTCGTGAACCTAGGAGAGGAGGTAATTCTGACTTTGCTATGACAATCTGGCGCTTCTGAATCATCTACTGTTTTGTTATTAGTTTAAGTATTTGCTATCGACTGTTCAAATGCGGAGTTTTGCGCATCATGTGTGTGTGTGTGGAGAGACAGGGTCACATCACAGTGGAGTTAGCTGTCTTAACCGTGGCTTGTGTAGCCTACTGCAAACACATACCAGCTTCATCACTGTGTCTGTCACGCGACTCTGTTCCCCTTTCAGGCTTGAACTGATGGTAAAACTAATGACATTTACTGTCTTTACAATTTTTTTGAAAGATGAAGCTCGCGATTATGATAAGGGGCGTTACATTTCCGACGAGTGCTTGCGGTGTTCGGCCAATCACAATGCACTGGGTCAGCTGGCCAATCAGAGCAGACTGCGCTTGTCGGAAGGAGGGACTTTGTAGAAAACGAAGCGTTTGAGAGAGGCGGGGCATAGAGGACCTACAATAATGTACAGTATTTGAAAAATAATGTGTTTTTTGAACATTAAAGCATGTCAACATATTCTGTTACACCAAATACACAAAATAATGATCTTTAAAAAAACATCATATGACCCCTTTAACAGCTGGTAGCTGGTTGGTTGCTGGTCTAAGATGGACTACCAGCTTGCGCCCTAATGATAGACCAGCAATCGTTCAGCTCCCAATAGTTTCCAGTATTATTAATGATAATATTTAGTAATATAATACTCTATACATTTTTGTCTAGATATTATGCTAGTTTTACTCTTATCATTATGTAGTGACTAGGCTACAAAAGCTTTTCAAACCAGTTGAATCATTCAAGAGAATCGACTCAAATAAATGATTCGCGAATCGGACATCACCACAGCGCTGCAGGTGCGAAAGAGAGGTTTAGTCTATGTAGATAATTCAAAGTAGATATGAATTCATCCAAGGAGCATAAATATTTAAAGATTTGTGCTGTTGAATACGTGTCATTATATTTCTTGTTGTAGTCTGTGTTGGACCAGGGCAGAAAGACAGAAAAGAAACAAAACAAACAACTTTCGACATGTAAAATCGTATGTCGGGCAACTGAGGTAGGTAAGGCTACTTACAAGTTCTTCTTTGTCTTTTCGGTCTGTTTGTGCAATGCAACAGAAAATCCAAATAAACTGCCCTTGGTTTTTCCTTCTTTGATGACCGGGAACTGCACGTCAATGTTAAATCCAGAGTTGGTTTGAATCGCGCACATTACGAATACGCACAAGCGCAGAGACTTTCCAGCCATATTTAATATTCCCCCTCTCTCTCCCTCTCTCTATCACCTGCACAACCAAAGCCAATGAGATTGAACTGGTCAATTACACGCCATAGGAAAGCCTCTTCTTTCACTCTGTGGCTCTGAGCTGTAAGGTGTGTGTCGCTGTTCTCTGTTCCCCGCCTCCACACACCCTCAGCGAATTCCAGCCTGCCCCTGTCCGCCACACTTCACCAGCCCCGCTTCCCCAAACAGAGGACTAGATAGACTATATCCCACAAGTCTGATAAGAGCCCCCCCCCCCCCCCCCATAAACCACATAAACATGCACACACACACACACACACACACACAAACCTTCACTTGTTGTTATGCTGCACATACGATTTAATTTTTCAAGGTTTTGTTATTCAAATTTTAACACAGTGGTTTGAATGAATCCTGAGAAAACATGTCCAGGTCACATTTCACAACAAAATCTAGAGGAAAAACATAGGAACAATTATTTTAATGACTATTTTAAGACTATAAAGTTACTTTTTTAGTTTCCATGATTGTTAATATAATAATATGACAATTTAAAAAAAATAATAAAATCAGTATAAAGTCAGTTATATAACGATAAACACTCAAATTTAAATATAGATTTTTTTTTTTTACATTACAGTAATGAGACGTTTTTTTCCTACATTGATATAATCAGAATTGGGTGAAAATGTGCTTAATTGTCAATAAAATATTATTATGGAATGGTCCCTCGTTAGGTTTTATTTTCAAGCAAAACTATTTTCAAATAAAAAAGTGAAATAGGCTACAAACAGTTTTCAAATCAGTTGAATCATTCAACAGAATCGGCGCAAATGATTCACAAATCAGGCATCACTACAGCGCTGCATGTGCAAAAGAGAGGTAATAATACAAATTTAGAATTTTTTCTTTTGATTTTGGATATTTTTTTTTTACCCATTTACTTAAATGAGGTTTGCTAAAAAGAACATTATTTTGTGTATTTGGTGTAATGAAATGTGTTTATGCGGTTTAACGTAAAAAAAAAACATTATTTTCCACATACTGTACATTATTGTTTCTCCTCTATGCCCCGCCTTTCTGAAACGCGTCGATATACCTCAAGCGTGTGATGGAAATGTTACGCCCCTTACCATATTGTGATGATGCCCTGTCCGGCCGGAGCGATGATTCAAAAACATTAAAACCCATTATAAACGAGGCATTTGCTGCATCCAGTGGTGACATAATTACGGATTATAATGACTTATAATGACTTATACTGTCTTTTTACGTGTTGCGTTGCATCGGGCCGCGTAAACATAAAATCATGTCTGCATTTGTGATCGGAGAAATTACAAACAACAAGCGCTACTCTACGCTGCTCAAAACTCGCGTTTGAATCATCAGTGGCAAATTCTTTAAATATAAAAAACGTACTTACAGTCTGTGAGTCAGAACAGCCGGCATCGTAGTCTACTCTCCCAGCATCAGGAAACAGTCTTCCATAAAATGTGCAGCACACATCTGAATATTTGGGTTGAAGTGTTCTGGAACAGTGTTGTAAATACAACTTAACCACTGATTTCTAGTCGTGTCCTCTTTTGGAAGCCCAAACAAAGTAGTTTTGCTTTCACAACGAAACACACAGGCGGAGGCCTAGAGTGAGCGGAGGCAGGCGGGCTTGAGAACGGTGCGGCCGGCGGATTCGACAAAGGAGCGGCCGGCGGACTTGTGGCAACCACATGTGATGACCCCAGGCTGGACTCCGCTTCGTTCACGGTGAAAGCCGATCCGGCGATCCACAGCACGAAGTTGATGTATTTCCTCAGCGACCAGCACGGATCAGCTCTAGGCATGACGAAAAGACGTAGTATTAAATGTATTAAAAATATACTTGAAATTCAAGTAGTGTTTATAATACATTTGTATTCCCAACATGCTTATTTGAAGTGCAATAAAAATATATTGAATTGCATTTTAATATATTTCTAAAAAGTATACTAGAAGTACACTCCAAAGAGAAAGGAAAAATTGAAATCGCATCATATGACCCCTTTAATGGCACAAACTTATGAAAAATGTATCCATTCCCCCCTAAACTCTCCACTGTTCCCAAAAACACATTTGAAACTGTCTGAAAAAGCTTTATTTTGGAAAGCCGCACATTTTATGTAAAATCTCTTAAGATTATCTCACTAAATATCATTCTGAATAAGTGTTTGTTCAGCTCCTTTTGAGAATCAAGTCTCTTGACTCCCTCAGATGAGCTGATTGGAGCAGAGCTGCCATTACACAAGAGTCCTGATAAGAGCAATACTCAAAACAGATCGCCAACAAACGACTGACCCCAGGTCAACACAGCATGAATCGACTGAATGTAGACCAGGGAAGGAAGCACACTGAAATGAATCAGAGACCTCACATGAGCTCTTTCTAACATTCAGATAACATTACCAGAGATTTATCTTAGTTTTATGATTCATTTTGCCTGTTTGTGCCCAGGCTTGATTCCACTTGTTTCATGGAGCCTTAACGCCACCACCCACCCACTTTGGTCTGCCTTGTCATGCCTTGGAGTTTCTCCTCCCTTTTTCCACGAGAGGTGGGGGATGGAGGTGTGGATGGTCTTTGATGGGGGGGAATGCAGCCACTGAACTAAAATAATAGCTTTGTAGATGGCAGATCACAGGAAAATGATAGACTGCCCCAGCTTCTGTAAGAGGGAGGAAGACTCCAGCTCATGGGAAAACACAGAAGCAGATATGAGTCTCCAAAAAGATCTGAATCTATGAATTATTTTTTTTTTCACATTTTAATTTATATAATTCCCTATAGATGTGCTTTTTGGACCTTTACAGACTTTCCACAAGCCTTGAACTGTATGCCCATGAAAATCATTAGACCATTTTAGAATTATCCATTTAGGGGAATACAATGAAAACACGAAAACAGTACAGTTGGTGCCTTAGAAATGGCAAAGACAGACTCAATCACACTATGAGATACTCTTCAGCTCCAGAAAATATGTTTGGGGTAAAGATTTCCATATCCAACAGGTTTCAAAACCAGATTTAAATATAGTGGGTAAATTAGTGGTGCTTGTTAAGACAAACATTATTGCTCATGCATTTGTTCTACAGACATAAATGATACCCAAATTTGCACAACTTGTGAGAGATATGCCATACTTTTCAAAGCAGTTGGGCTTACAATTTCTGACTGGCCAATGATAAAATAAGCAACAAAAACCAACCCGATCTCACAGGAAAACATAGTTGTTTTATGAGGTGCTGATTTCATATGAATTTGTACAATGTGAATTGCATGTAAACTAAAAAGCACCTATTAATGTCTTATTCTGCATGACCATATGTTAGATCCTTTAATCCTACTACATACTCAAACTTAACTACTACCTTACCTACTATTAATAAACAGCAAATTAGAAGTGTAGGGAGGTAAGGCAAAAATCAGTTAATAGTTTATTAACAGCGAGAACTAAAGTAAGACCAAACAAACAAATGAGATTGTAGTACTCATCAAATTAGACACCAGTTTGCCACAATATAACATTTTTTGAATAGTGAAATTGAGTTGTAAATATCCAACAGACTGAACATGAGCTATATCTAGAGACGGGAATATCCTAGAGAGTTGGCAGACACCACTTAGCAAAACCCTAGAAACCACCCAGAACACCATAGCAATGCCTTGGCAGCCGCCTTATCACTGTGGTGCCATGATTATATTTTCATCAGACAAACACATCTAAATCTTGTTTTAATGACTGTTTTCCTCCAGGTGGGATTTCCCCCCATACTGGATCCTCTGGCTTTGCATTTCCAGTGTCTTTGTCAGTAAGGGCTTGTAAAATGCTTTCTGCACCTCCTCCAGCTCCTCAGCACACCTGAAGCAACCACACCAACCTATTCAGCCTGCCAGATGATACTGTGAGCTCTGTAAATGTAGTCGGGATCTGTTCTCTCTACACACATTACTCTTGTTCATGACAAGAACATTTTTACATATGCATGAAGGGAATGCTGAGCTGGATCCGTGAGTGTGAATATTACACAGCAAATGAGACATAGCGACACAAATGACTTGTGAATTAATTGTCGGTAGAGATAAAAAGTGTGATATTAATAACGTTTTATTAATGGATTTATTGTCAGTTTCTGTAGATCTGTCTCCTGCCTTTATTCGGAGTACATTAACAGTGCTGTGACAATAGACAATGTCAGTTGTATTTGATTCCCAGGCCGAGACCCTGAGTAAACCAACACTATGGGAAACAAAGCCCCCTAGTGCCCTGAGGTTCACCACAGAAAGACCTTAGTCCAACCACAGTACATACTCACATGTAATGAGTACTATACCCTAAAGTCTGATTTCTTATTTAAGATCTCTTTTAACGCAAAAACTTGTTCTATGCAAATGCCAACAGTGATTTTTGCCAACAAATTAACAAATCAATTTTAGCCCAAAATAAAAATATTTTCATTATATACCCAGCAAAAGGAACACAAAAGTAATTTTTTGGAATAATTTCACACATTTAAAAGTGACAAAACAACACCATAAAGTCCTGTTCACTCCAAGACAAATGTTCAGTTGCAAATTTAGAGCAATAAACATTTTTTACGAATGAATCGTTTATGCATCTGTTTTGTAATCTGATTTTATTTTCCATGGCACTGCAAAAAATTCTGGTCAACCATTAGGATTTGCACTGTTAGCAAAGTCACTTTAAGGCAAGTCATGTCACCCGGCGGTCATCTTTGAAACGTCTTTCGGGCATGCATGTGCAGCTCCTATCTCTTTGAATGGGGAAACATCAAATTATCCAAAACTGTTCACTAAGCTTACGATTAAATTTCATATTTGAAATCACCAATGAAATCGGACAACTGTATCATAAATGTTGTTTATTTTGCTCAAATAGCATTAAAAAGCTTATTTTTCAGGCTAGATCAGTTGTTCAGAGCAATAAAAATTTAGAGCAATAAACATTTTTTACGAATGAATCGTTTATGCATCTGTTTTGTAATCTGATTTTATTTTCCATGGCACTGCAAAAAATTCTGGTCAACCATTAGGATTTGCACTGTTAGCAAAGTCACTTTAAGGCAAGTCATGTCACTCGGCGGTCATCTTTGAAACGTCTTTCGGGCACGCATGTGCAGCTCCTACAGTGGGGCAAATAAGTATTTGATACACTGCCG